GAAACACCTCTAGTGAAAGTCATCTGTATATTGCTGTGTGTGAAATTTTAGATGCATGTAATTGCAAGAATTTCATATTCTAAAAATTTTATCAGAGTCTGTAAGGCTGGCGATATTATTTTTTGCACTAGTGAGGAGATGACTTTTTTCCTGAGGTGAAATTTAGATTTTGTTAAAGGTTTAGATATATTGAAAAAAAAAATGAGAATTAGTGCAGAGATTAGAAAATGATAATGCCAAACTCTAAACATTTCTTTTCTTTTTAAATCAAATTATAAGCTAACTGCTTTATTTTTTCAAATGTTCCATTTATTTAGTTTTAAACATAAAATAGGTAGTAATATTACATTTGGTTTCACTTTGAATTTACAAGTTAAAATTTATTAAACATACACAAACATGTAAGCTCTGTGAGACCTGAGACTGTGCCTGGTTAGATTAAAATAATGGTCTCTCATAATAATGCTTCAAATTTATTAAGAGATTACTTTGTGCCAGATGTTGTTCAAGGCACATCATGTAAAGCAGGATATTTCCCTAACCCGTTTGTGGGATTCGGGACAAGGGTGCCTAGTTTACTCAGTCCACTGCTCTCAACTCCTTGTGGGAGGGGGCGTGTGAGTGAATGAGTGCAGGAGCCGGAGTGAACGAGCACTGGAACCAGCTGGCCCCTTTGGCACCAGCAGGACCAAACTCCACTCACTTGGACCTGCTGCGTTCCACCCTTTGTGGGAGGTACCATGCAGGTGAGCAGGTGCAGGAACCAGCCAGATGGTTTAGCACTGGCAAGAGCAAACTCTGTACAGGTCTCATGGCAGCATCCAGGCAGGGGTGCCTGTGACTCCTAAAGCTCCAGAGAGTGTATTGCAGTGCTCATTTAGCTCTGCCATCCACGGATGGCTTAAGTGTTAACAGCTCAGTGGACCCTTTGCATTCTCACGTGAGGTGGCTGTCCTCCGCCAGCGAGGGCAAAGGGCCAGTGTGACAGCCTTTTGTATCCACTCTTGTGGCTCCAGAGCTCTTGTCTGATGTGCAGAAAAAATGAGGTCGCATGAATGAATTGAAGGATGATAAATGTGGGGGGTTTTTATTGCCAATGAAAGTGGCTGTCAGTGTGAAGGGGAGTTGAAAAGGGGACAGGGTGGGAAGGTAATCTTCCCCTGAAGTCCAGCCATCTCTGGCCAGATTCTTCTCTGAAGTTACACTGTCAAGCTGCCTCTCTGAAGTGAAGCTGCTTATCTCCAATGTCTACTGGCTGAGTCTGGAGTTTTTATGGGCATAGGATGGGGCAAGGTGGGGCTACGGGCAGTTTAGGAAAAGGCAACATTCGAGTGGGAAAACAGGGATAGAAGTTCTCCCTTTGGGCCATGGTTTCAGGCTTTTCAGCTTGAGGGTGGGGTTTTTCCTGGGACCCACACTTTTCTGCCTAGAATTTCTGTCCCCTGTCCCTAGCACATGTATTATCTTGTTTGGTCTTCTTGATCATTGCTCTTCTTTACCTCAGCACAGCAGAATTAAATGTCTTAGAAGCCCTTGGCCCTGAGAAAGAGACCAGTGCCTCACCTTCTATTCTTTGCTATATGCATTTCATACTTTTTTTAAAAAAGAAAATAAGCCAAACTCAAAGGCAGAAAACTTTCATAAATACTGAAATTAGTATTTTCATTGAAAACTAATTTTAGATTTATTTGATGGTCATATTATGAGTAATTTTACCACAGTTGTGCTTCACTAATTTTTAATTCTCCCCTTAGCTAATGTGTTTGATATGTGCTTAATTTGCCTTCTGTGAAATTCCTCCAAGACCCTCAGTGCCTAGAATAGCCTGGTAGACATACTTTATTGCCAGCTGACACAGTGATAGGAATAAGTATTTACATAGCCCTGTCTTCAGCTAATTATGGAGATAAGCCATATTGCTATAGAAAGTTTAAAAATAGAGAACACTTTAAAGGAATAACAAGAACTTATCTACAGAACAGCATTCATGTTCATTTCACTCATTTGTTTGTTATTTTCTTTTTCTTTTTACTGTTTCCAATCAATGTGTTATGGTTTTATGTGGGAAATTTGGGAAAAAGACAGAGAGAGCCCATACAAATAATCAAATATGGGTGGTAAATGAATGATACAAACTGAATGAAAGAAATTACAAATTCCAAGTCCTATTGAGGTTTACATTTTTCAGCATCAGCTGAGTTGAGTGAAAAGTGCCCTAACATAGTAATCAGTGCATTGGGTTCCAGTTCTGGCACTGCCATAAAGTAGCTTGGGACAAGCTGCTTAATTTTTCAGGCCCTCAGTTTATTTACCTGGAAAATAATATGGCTGTGGTGGATAACTGTGTTAGATAATTGTTTTTGTATTCCCTTTAGTCTTTCCATTTTCCTGTGTCAAGTCATTTCTTCTTCCAGAGTTATCTTTCAGCAGCAATGAGACTATCAGCTTAGAAAAAAGAAATTGGCATCTAAATGCAAATGGATGAGGGTTAGGATTATTTATTCAATGATTTCATTTTTTCCTATTTGTAGTGAGTCTGCATTTATTGTGTGTAAAATGTTGTGGCAATGCAAAGGCTAAGAAGGTAGAATCTTTTTTCAAGACAGAATTCTAGAACCTGACGAATGAGAGGAGCAAGGGCTATGCTATAGAATTTTTGAAGTGAGAAAGGTAGGATGGGGGACTTCATGGCAGAGTGAGTTGACATCTGAACGAGGTCCTTTAATCAATCAATTATCATCTCATTTATGTGTAACATTTATTACATAGAGCCCATTGTGTGCTAGTCACTGTGGGAAACACAAACAAGAAGACACAGACCCAGTCTTCATTTTCACCAAGCGAATTTGCCAGAAAAGCAAAATTTATTTAAAAAATATTGCCTCTGATTTTCTTAGTATCTGACATTCAGGCAAAGACATTAATAACTTCATGGGCTTTTAAAATAATTCACATTTTATTGAGAAAAGCACAAAGTCATTTCCATTTTCTTAACCTAATAAAATGTAGCTCTCCTTTGGATTATTGTTCATTCAATAATATAGACTGGAATTTCACATTAGCAGAAATGTTACTGCATCCAATAGATCGTATCTTACGATCCTCTGTCCTTTTCAAAATCATGCTCTGCAGGAAACTTTTGGTTTATGGGCTTTTCACCTCATGAGAGTACTAACTTGAATGTGTTCTGTAAAATGTCACATTGTCCAAAACTGGTTTTTCTAGCTTTTCTGAAGATTATATGGTCTATGGGTTCTGCCTGGTAAGTTTTTGTACATCACTGTACGTCTCTGCTCATGGTGAGCATGGCAGACTGAGAACAGCTCTACTTTTGATGGATGTTAGTACGTTTCCTCAGTGACTGATTTTTATTAGTTTCAAAAGATAACAGTATATGCATGCACACACGCTGATGTTTCTGAAGGGCATTGTGATGAAAGATTAGAATGCTTTTTGCCTTCCTCCTGATCAAACAGTGTGTCTTAGAGAGCATGGGTACATTTACTTTTTTTTGTTACCAAAAAGAATAAAATCTGTTGACATTGTTACTTATCATTTCAACTTCATTCATTCTTAATGCCAAAGTCTGCCTATTTAGTCAGGAAAGGTTGAGATCATGAGGTCAGCTATCACATAAAGTTCAGTGTATCTGGAATGTAATGTTAATCCAGAAGTTGTTTCAAGGGAAAGAAGCAAGATACCCATGATTTAAGCACAGGTGTTTAATGGCCAACTATGGAATTAGGTTCACCTCATAACAGTGAAAACGCTACCTGGGGAATTGAAAATTAACAGAGAGTGTAGGTTTTTATTATAATGAATACCAATGAGACAAAAGAACAATTCTGTGAACTTAAGAAAGTTAACTCAGCTACACCTGGCAAGCTGTATATCACAGAAGACTTTAACACACACATTGGCAGCAATGTAAAAAGCAAAAGGAAATCACTGGGACTGGCAAGACAGGAGAACTGAACCTCTACAGCATCCATCTTAGGTGGTGAAACAGATTTTTTCTAAAAAAATTCTCTTCTTTTCAAGCAATATGCTATACAGTTTTATCTCAGATATTGAGACCTAAGGGATGTTTCAAATCCAGAATGATAGCGTCTATCACTGCTTATTTATGCAATTATGCTAAACAATCTTAGCATAATGTATGAAAACATTGACTTCAGTCAGATCCATGTGAAGCTTTAGAATATCTATCTGCAAAAGTATCAAGTCTTTCCTTTGACGTCTGGAAATCTTATCTTAAACGGATGATGTGTATAGCACATGAGGAAAAGCTTCTCATGTCCTGTTCATTAAACTAACATGTATGGTGCTTCTTTTATTATTATTATTATTATTATTATTATTATACTTTAAGTTCTAGGGTACATGTGCATAACGTGCAGGTTTGTTACATATGTATACTTGTGCCATGTTGCTGTGCTGCACCCATCAACTCGTCAGCACCCAACAACTCGTCATTTACATCAGGTATGGTGCTTCTTTAATGCACTGGATACTGTCAGCAATAGACTCTGTCAATAGTAACAAGAATAAGATGCTTAAACTATGTGCCCTTCCCACTAACTGTTCATTATCTAATAACATAGGCTAACCTTTACCATCCGCCAGCTAGACAGTATATGATTTGTGTAGTGAGAAAAATGGTATCCAAGTATTAGGTTGGTGTAAAAGCAATTGCGGTTTTGACCATTACTTTTGCACCAACCTAATAGATCATGCACAGCCAGCTTAAGATGCTGTTATAATGGGCGGAAAGTCTGGAATCCATGACTTGAAGGGTCACTGAGGAAAGGTTAGCTAATGGCTACGGAAAACCAATTCTATGACAGAAATTCATATAGATTTTTCTCCACTGGTTTTATCATTTGATGCTTGCAGCATTTTGGTGAGGAAAGGCAGTGGTCAGGATCTTTCAGGTGCAAGTGTGAGAAACCCAATACTAATCAGCTTAGATAAAAAACAGAAGATATTGGCTCACATACCTGAAAAACCCTGGGATAGGTAAAGATGCAGCACTGGGTTTCTCTTCATATATTGGCTCTGCTTTCCAGGACGTTGTTCTCAGTCCTAGGCTCTGCATGATGACTTCTGGTCCAAATTTAGAGGAAAAGAGCATCTCTTCGTAGCACCTCCTAGGCAAGTCCTTGAATTCCTTCTATTTGTGCTCTCTTCTGCTCTCCTCTCCTCTGTTCTCACTCTATACCTGTTTCTTGGTGATCTCATTTATAACTTCAACTATTACCTGCATGCTCATGGCCTCCAAACCTACCTTTGAAGCCCCTGCAGTGTTCCTGAATCATAGACCTGTGAAATTCCCTCCTAGAAATCTTTACTGGATGTCCCAGAAGTAGTTCTATAGATAGAAGTATCTAGGGAAGACTTTGTTGTCTAGGCTGTCACCTGCTTCATTCCAAGAGTGGGGTGAGACTGGGCAAGATGGGCTTTGAGGGGAGGAGCATGTGTGTGTCTAAGCTATAGAGTCAGAGAGACTTGAGATTACAGCTTGCTTTTATACTTACTACACTAAATGCCAGTTTCATCATTTATAAAATAAATACAATAAAATGTTAGTTGCAGTGATTAAATAGGGATATATATATATATATATATATATATATATGAAGGTTTCTTTTGAGTACTGGAAGCACAATAAGCTAAGGATGACCAAGAAATTTCTATTGGCATGTTGACTCTGACAGTAACCATTGGAGTGTTCTGTTAGGGAGAGCTATGAGGAAATGTCCAAGCTTATCAAGAAAAAGATCTGAAATCAGTCAGTGATCTCTAACTTGGTTATGACAAGGTAAAGGGGCAACCCTCATGCCTCACACTCACTTCTGAAGCAGGCACTCAAGGAACAAGCCAGCATTAGTATGTTCTGTCGTGGTTATTATTATTTCCTTCTTGTTGTTTAATATCACCATCTACTCAGGTTTCTAGCCTAGGCCATAATATTTTCTTTCCTTTCCTATTTCAATACTTTATATTCAATTTGTGATGCAGATATTTTTTGTATTCTGTATATAAACCCCTCTCCTTAATGCTTTAAGTCATTCTCTGTTTATTTCTCATCTGGTTCGATGCAGTTTTTGACCTTTTAACTCAAATTTTACCTCTTATTTTAGATATTGCTCCCAAGAAAGTTTTCTCAGATAGCAAAAGTTAGAAAATTTTCAACTCCTCATCATGGTACATAAAATATTTTCTCACCCAAACCTTGGCTGTCCTTTCGAAGTCACTATTACTGACTTCACTGCACAGCCTGCTCTCCACTTACGTTGATTTCTCTTCAACCACAATCATCTCAATTCTCTCCCTAGGTTGCTCCCAGTTCCTCAAAAATGCCCATTCCTTCTTTTGTCTAGGTAGTGCTTAATTACCACTCAATCTTGGCCCAGAAACATTTTTCTGAAGAACATTCCCTGTCCCATTATTTGTCTTTCCTATGAGGTAACAGAAGCTCTATCATAATAGCATCTCATTCATTCATTCATTCATTCATTCATTCATAAGTTTACTCATTTGTTCAACAACTACTTAATATTAGCTAAGAATTTTTCAAGGTACTAAAGATACAGCTGTGAATAAGATAGACACTATATCCCCTTCTTTTAAGGTTTCCATTGTGCTGCTGCTGGTGGTGGTGGTGGGGGGGTTGCAAGGTATAAACAATTATATTTTAGAATAACCATGGTTTCCATGGAGGAGTGGGCAGACTCCAAGGGATGTAAAAATTAATAAGCTGAGTCTTGGAAGAGAAGTGTTGGAAATTGTACTTACATTTTTATCTCATGCTTTTTAAATTTCAGTTTTATGTATATTTTATAATACATTTTCCATATTAAAAAATTTGTAAAATAATTTACTATTTATGAAATACATTGCTATTTCCTAATATGTGTTCTAGCCAATTAAGTTTTGTCTAAAGTGGGTTAGGCAATGTTGAACAGGTTTCTGTTACAGCAGAATTTTTCATAACTTACAACTTTTCAAGAGATGGATATAATATTCTGTTTGCCTCAACCATATAACGTATTTCAGGATATTGGAGGAGTAAACATGACCTTCTGAACTGCATTTGTGTCCACAATTCCCTTAGCCATTTCTCTGTTGGGCTGAATTGGCTTTTCTCAATTCATTGTTTGATTCTTCACTATGGGAACTACATTGCCTAAAATCATTTTCTTGGGAACTACATGTCCCAGAATCCCTGACCTGTAGTGTTGTAGGTAACATTCTGCCAATGAGAAGCACAAGTGAGAGACTTGGAAGGTGAGAGAAAAACATAAGGCATTATTCTTGAATGGCAGCTGTGAGCAAATGGAATTCTATGTTACACACAATTATTAATGATGATTATAATATCTAATACAGTGACCAAAAAAATCTAGATTAAAACAGCATTTGTGGCCTCTACATATTATTGCAGTAATCTCCAAAACATGGGTCTAAATTTACATTCCCCTTTGTAGTAAATTAAAAAAATGCACATTTGAATTCATCCTATTTAATAGTTTCATTTCCTAAAAATATTTGCAATTTTAAAGATAAAAAATGAAGTATTTTTGTTGCATAGCTTTACTATTCTTTGATATTGAATGCTTTTCAAATGTTTATTGGTGTATTCGTAAGAAATGTCTTTGGCCAAAAATAACAGAAAACATAGTATTTGTGGTTTAAGGAAATGTGAGCATTTTTTTTTTCATGTGGCATTTCCTCACATACCAAGAGTGAAATTGATTCAACTGCTCAAAAGCAACATTAGAAACCCAAGTTCTTTTTCCATCTTCACTTTGCCATCCTGAATATCCTGGCTTTTGCTGTCATTCTTGCTGCCTCGTGGTCACAATATAGTAGCTATGGTACCAGATCTGCTTTTTTTTTTGGTTCTAGGAGAAAAAAGAAGGAAAAGCAAGAAGAAGAAAAGGGGAAAAATATATTTTTTCTTGTGTCCTATGGCCACCAGTAGCTGCAAGGGAGGCTAGGACTACTGTTGTATGTTTCAAAGAGCAAAAAAAAAGAATTGTTTAACAAGAATATAAAGTTAGGCATCTTTGCTCAAATGCATATTCTCTTTGCAAATTATTCGTTTAAGACTTTTATCCATTTATTTCAGTTTCAGTGTTTTTCATATTTTTGTAGTAGGTCTATAAGTAGTAATTATATTAACCATTTATCATTTTTTGCTCTATGTATTTTTCTCATTCTTCTTTCAATTATATTTATGTAATATTTTTTTAGACTCACAATCTATATGTTTACGTATTTTATCAATTTCTTTGGTAACTTTTTTTCCATTGTTTTAATCATAGACATTTTTAAAAACTGCATCACATGATTTAATTGTGGTAAAATTTGCGTACAGTGAAATGACAAAGTTTTGTTCCTGGTTTCTTGTGGTTATCACAATGTTTGTGCATTTTTTAATATTCTTGTATGTATTAGGGGTTAATTATTTTTTATTGACAAATCAACTTCCACTATGAGAATAAGCCACAATTTTTTGTGTAACCTTCTACTGATAAACATTTGAGTTTCTTCCACTCTTCTACTATTATGAGTAATGTGGCTATAAAAAATCTTGTAGAAATCTTTTTTTTTGAGTGAATATATGTTTTTACTTCTTTTTGAAATAACTGAGAATGAAATTGGTGGGTCACAGTGTAAGTATATATTTAATGTTGCATGAAACTGCCAAATCAATCATTTTCCAATGTGGTTGAACCATTTTATACTCTCTTCAACAATATATAAGAATTCCAGTTGGTCTTTACCCTCACACACATCTGCTGTTGTCATTTTTTTCTTTCTCATTTTAATAATTCTAGTGCATGACAAATGAGATCTCACTGTGGTATCAATTTGCATTTCCCTGATGCATAATGGCATTAAACACCTTTTCATATGTTATTTGTCATTTATCTTGTTTTGCCAATAGTCTGTTTAAATCTTTCACACTTTTTAAATTATGTTGTTTATTTTTATTCCTAATTTATGGGAGTTCTTAAAATATTCTGTACTTATGTCATTTTTCAGGTATATTTTGTGTTTCCCTACTATCTCTTAGTTTCTGGCTTGTCTTTTTATTTTATTAATTGTGTCTTTTGAAGAGAGAAGTTCTTAATTTTTATGAAGTTTAACTTTTTGCTTTCCTTTAAGATTTAATGCTCTTCTATAATTTCAACTTTAATTTTAGATTTGGGGGTACATGTGCAGATTTGTTACATTGGTATATTGCGTGACACTGAAGTTTGTGGAACAAATGATCCTGTTACCCAGTTAGCAAGCATAGTACACAAAAGGTAGATTTTCAGCCCTTACCCTTTTCCCCTCTCCTCCTTCTAGTAGTCCCCAGTGTGTATTATTCTTATCTTAATGTACATATGTACCCAATTTGTAGCTCCCACTTATAAGTGAGAACATGTATCACTCAGTTTTCTGTTCTTGCATTAATTCATTTAGGATGATGGCTTCCAGCTGCATCCATGTTGCTGCAAAGGATATAATTTTATTTGTTTTTTATGGCCACAATTTATAAGGAATTTAAACAATTCATCAAGCAAAAACCAAATAACCCTTTAAAAAAGTGGACAAAGAACATGCATGGACACTTTGCAAAGAAGATATATTAGGTTGGTGCAAACGTAATTGCTGTTTTGGACCACGAATTTTAAATCATGATAACTTGGCTCAAAAACATCTTTATTAATCAAAATAGGAACCATTATGATCAACATATTTTTGCCAATAATTTTTTTTTTTTTGAGACAATCTCACTCTGTCACCCAGGCTGGAATGCAGTGGTGCGATCTTGGCTCACTACAATCTCCACCTCCCAGGTTTAAGCAATTCTCCTGCCTCAGCCTCCTGAGTAGCTGGGATTACAGGTGCACGCCACCATGCCTGGCTAATTTTTGTATTTTTGGTAGAGATGGGGTTTCACTGTGTTGGGCAGGCTGGTCTCAGACTCGTGACTTTGTGATCTGCCTGCCTCAGCCTCCCAAAGTACTGGGATTACAGGTGTGAGCCACCACACCCGGTTGAAAAATGTTTGTTTATTCCTGTAGCATAAAAATTCATGCTTTGGGATTCAACAAACAGTTGGAAAGCATTTCCTGCATCCTGCTGTTGTGGAAGCATTTTCCCTGCAAAAAGTTGTTGAGATGCTTGAATAAGTGGTAGTCAGCTGGTGAGAGGTCAGGTGAATACAGTGGATGAGGCAAAACTATGGAGTCCAATTTGTTCAACTTTTGAAGTGTTGGTTGTGTGATGTGCAGTTGGGTGTTGTCATGGAGAAGAATTGAACGCTTTCTGTTGACCAATGCCAGTTGCAGGTATTGCAGTCTTCTGTGCATCTCATCGATTTGCTGAGCATACTTCTCAGATGTAATGGTTTTGCCTGGATTCAGAAAGCTATAGTTGATCAGACCAGCAGCAGACCACCAAACAGTGACCATGAACATTTTTTGATGCAAGTTTGGATTTGGGAAGTGCTTTGGAGCTTCTTCTTGGTCCAACCACTGAGCTGGTCTTTGCAAGTTGTCATATAAAACCCACTTTTTGTCTCATGTCACAATCCGATCAAGAAATAGTTCATCGTTGTTGTGTAGAATAAGAGAAGATGACGCTTCAAAATGACGATCTTTTTAAAATTTTCACTCAGCTCATGAGGCATCCACTTATTGAGTTTTTCACCTTTCCTATTTGCTTCAAATGCTGAATGACTGTAGAATGGTTGACATTGAGTTCTTCGGCAACTTCTCGTGTAGTTGTAAGAGGATCAGCTTACAATTGTTCTCAACTGGTCATTGTCAACTTCCAATGGCTGGCCACTATGCTTCTCATATTCAAGGCTCTTGTCTCCTTTGCAAAACTTCTTGAATCACCACTACACTATATGTTAGCAGTTCCTGGGCCAAATGCGTTGTTGATGTTGTGAGTTATCTCTGCTGCTTTATGACCCATTTTGAACTTCAATAAGAAAATTGCTCAAATTTGCTTTTTGTCTAACATCATTTCCATAGTCTAAAGTCAACATACAATAAAAAGCAAGTAATAAATCATTAGCCAAAAAAAGTGAGAAATGCCCATTAAAATGATGTGTATAACATAATCACATTTAAGAATGTATTCCAATATCAAACCACAAATTCCAATCATGCAAAAACTGCAGTTCCATCTGCACCAGTGTAATACAAGCAGCCAACAAATATATTAAAAATGCTCTTCACTACTAATCATCAGGGAAATGCAAATAAAAACCATGATGAGATACCATTTCACACCAGTCAGAATGGCTATTATTAAAAAGTCAAAAAACAACAGATGCTGGTGAGGCTATGGGGAAAGGGAACATTTATACACTGTTGGGAATGTAAATTAGTTCAGCCACTGTGGAAAGTAGTTTGC